ATGCCATAAAACGAGTCTCAGAGACGACAAGACTTCCAATCACATGTATGGAATGTTACATAGTCTCTGTGACTCTTTTTTTTGGCTTATTCCTCTTTTAAAGGTTTTGGACCCCAAGAGTCTGAAGACATCAATAAATTTCTCTAAGGCATATATCATTGCTAAGGAAGTCCATACTCTGGACCACAAAAATCCGAAGATATCGATAAAATACATGCTTCGGACCCCAAGAGTCCGAAGGCATCAAAATATTCCTCTAAGGTATACGCTATTGCCGAGGAACTCTATGCTTCGAACCCTAAGAGTCCGAAGTCCTCAAAATATTCCTCTAAGGCATACGCTATTACCGAGGAACTCTATGCTTCGGACCCCAAGAGTCAAAAGTCATTAAAATATTCCTTTAAAGCATATCCCATTGACCAGGAACTTCAAGCCTTGGATCTCAATAATCCGAAGATATTAAGTAATTCCTCTAAGGCGTTTCCCATCGCCAAGGAACCTTTTGCCCCGGATCTCATGAGTCCGAAGGTATTAGATAAAAATCCTATAAGGCATACACTATTATTGAGGAACTTTATACTTCGTACACTAAGAGCCCGGAGTCATCAAAGTATTCCTCTAAGGCATATTTCATCACCAAGGAACTTCTTGCTTCAGATCTCAAGAGTCCAAAGGTATTAAATAATTTCCCTAAGGTATACGCTATTGCCGTGGAACCCCACGCTTTAGACCCCAAGAGCCCGAAGACATTAAAATTTTCCTTTAAGGCATATAAAATTGCCGAGGAACTTAACACCTCGGACCTCAAGGGTCTGAAGGTATACAAACGGGTCTAAACCCAAATGGGGGCAGATATTTTTTATGGATGTCCCACTCTCAGGCCCCAGTGCTTGGCTAACAATGCTAGGCCCATTAAAAGTTTGTCCCACATCAAAAAAATACAAGAACAAGAAAACATTGATATAGTTATATCAGAAAATGATATTCAACAAGAAGGGTTCCCTTAATAAGAAAATCACTTAGTGAAATAACAATCTCTAGTTTGTGACTTGATGGTCAAGGGAACTCTCTTCTTGTTATCTTTCATTTTTTATATCTTTGAACCATAACAAGTCCGAAAGTCCCAAAAAGAACAAACTTTTCTCAAAGGTATAGAAAACTACTCAGGAAAACATGCAACCTTGAGATACTAAAAAATATGGAAACTCTTCAGGATAGATGTATCAAATAGAAAGAGTTAAAGTTACCATTATTTACAGAACAAAATACACCAGTTCAAGACAAATATTATATAAATTCACTTCATTTTGGGATCAAAAGGAGCAAAATCGAAAGCATCAACCACGTTTGGGCTAGAAGCTGTAACTGGAGGAACTGAGGAGCTTGAAGGTGGAGGATTCCCTTAGTGAGACTTCACCATCTCAACGAATAAAACCTCAGCTTCTTGGGCCTTTGGACCCTTAGTATAGGGAAATGACACCTCCATGTTTGCGTCAAAAGCGTCTGGATCCTTTGATTTATTGCCTGAGCCTTAAGCAAAGCCGAAGCGAAATGCCCTCGCACTAGACAAGCACACCAAGGAGAAATAACGATCTTGCATTTGTTTTCTAGCAGTTGTGCAAGTGTTAACTGCATCCCTCCATCGAAAGTTCTCAGTTTCCAATTCCTTCAGCTTAGCTTCAGCGGATGCAAGGCGTCCCTTGTATACATCCCTCGCGTCATAAGCCATCTTTACATCTATGAGTGCATGGGAGAGCTTCTTCTCAGCAGCAACTAGGTCATTTTCTAATTTCCAGATGAAAATTGACTGAGCTTCAGCAGTTGCACACAAGGCCATGGTATGATACATACTCTATATAATTAATAATGGGGTGAGCAAAGCAAAAGGGAAAATAAGAGAATAATGTATAAAGAAAGAGGACAAACCTCCATGGCACAAACTAGGGCAGAAGGAAGCAGTTGTTCTAGCCTCATGTTGCCTATGATTTCCTCATCTTTGGGCAGCCACATCCCACGAGCAACTGCCAATGCAGCAGATGGATCAATGACTACAAAATCTCCAGAATGGAGAACTGATTTGTCAGCCCTAGAGAAAGTGAACCTCCAAGCCTCTCCAGCTTCTGCTAGGACAAAAGCCCTAACCTCTTCCTTAGGGTCGGCTTCGTCAGCTTTCTTCCCTTTACTCTTTGATAGGTTAATTGTTCTTGCAGGTGGAAAAAGGGTTTAATTTAAGTTTCTTCTTCAAAGGAAGTTCTTTAACTTCCTTTTCGTGTTCGGTAGAACGAATAACTGCAAGGGGCTGAGCCTCTGCTGCTCTCTTCTTGGTAGTTTTAGCCTTCTTCTTTTCCTCTTCAGTTAGAGGAAAGCTATCGAAGGAAGGGAGTGACAAATCCATAAGATCAACAGTTGAAACACTATAAGCAAGTTCTTTAAAGTTGGATGAAGAAAAAGGTCCTCTGCAGAAGGGGGGTCGTTCCAAACTTGTTCCTCGAGGAAAGCAAGCCTTTTCTTAGCTACAAAAGAGGGGAACGTTGCTGAAAAAACACCAAGAAATTCGTACGTATGACAAAACAATAAAACTTGACATGGGAAGCAACCAGAGCATTTTTTATGGAGAGAAGGTAAATCTTCTATACCTAATATCCCAAATTTGCGGGGAATAGGAAGTTTTTTCGATTGAGACATAGACCAATTTCCCTTAACGATAATCATTCTCTCTTTCTATCTCTTCTTGGAAGAGGGGAGATCTGTACATATCCTCTGTTGAAGAGAGGAAGTAAAGTAATAGCGGCCAAGCTCGGTCTGGTATCTCGAAATAGTATAAGTAATCAATAGGTCAGTAAGAGTCAAATCAAGATTCTCTAGCCTTCGACGAACAAGAAGAGCTGAAACTATTCGAAAAAAGTTAGGGTTTACTTGAAGAGGGGCAATACCAAACTTGTTGAAGACTAGGTGATAAAAGGGGTGAAGGGGAAAACGAAGAGCATGAAGATGGCTGACGGACAAAAGTAATTCATTCTCTCCAATGCCCTCACTTGAACTAAAATCAGCAATTTTTGGGTATTCAACAATGTCCACCCCCTTGGGGATCTCGAACTCTTCCATTACGGAATCAATGGTGAACAAGATAGATGAAGAATTAACCTGATATCACGACGAAGCAATGAACGCAGTGAAGGCAAGAGCAAGCTTTGAAGGATTCCCTTGGTCAGAATGTCAATGGTCACTTCTTAAATCGCCTCTTGTAAAAATTGGCAACCGTGCAAAATCAATTCCCTTATAACTAGGAGCCGTAGTTCAATTTAGGAGGGAATTGGGGGCAAAGTATGAAGGGAAAAATCTTCCCTCCAATAAGAATCAGTCACATCATTAAAGTAAATCAGAATCCCAATTGATCTCCAAATTAGTCCATCAAAACCCGATCTCGGCTAAGCCCAACTAAAGTTGCCATCGACCCAAGGTTATTCACATTAACCTCTTGATTCGTGGGTCGGCCCAATCATATCCTAATTCAAGTCCAGTTCAAATTAATCAAAGGCGTTTTCCTTAAGGATTCTTCATATGAGGAAGTTCTGCATAGAAAAAGACTTGCATGGAAAGAACTACAAAAGGAAAGAACTCTGTAGGTAAAGAATTATATATGGAATGAATTGGAGGACAAATAGGGCGAGTCCAACCATAATTCCATTATCTTTTTGTATATAAATAGAGGCATAGACCTCCAATAAAGGGCATTGAGCATTACAAGCTTTTTTCTGAATTATTCTTGTTAATTATTCTTTTATTTTGAGTGAGTTGTATTTATTCTTTTAGCTTTTTAGTTAAACAAATTATTTGCACCTACAATCCCATAAGAAAATTTTGAAATTACACTGATCTAATTGAAGAGAGAGAGAGAGTCTCATTGAAGAGTGAAAATTTATTTGAAAACCCTAAACATCTAGGGTTGATTCCAAAATTTACTATTGAAGAGAGAAGAAAAAAAAAATGCAAAAATCAGACCATATCTAATTGAAGAAAGAGGGGTTTCTTCGCATAAATAGAGGAGATGACGTGGCAATGCCACGTCTGAGTCGGACTAAAATATGCTCAGATGACTTGGCAATGCTAGTCTTCAGTAATCTAAACTTGATCAGAAAATAGTGTTCTGTGTCTTCAAAGAGTGTTATGTTTTTTCAATTGGGCATTTAATCAAACAATTCATTTGCATATTTATAAATACATCTTAAATTGTCATATTTATAAACAAAGCGTCTTTCTTTCTTGCTTTAGAACAAAAAAAATTTATTCCACCGATAAAAAGGAAATAAACATGTAAATAGTACATATAGAGAAAAAAAATGCGTGTAAAATAAATTTAGATTTGTATGATACTCCCTAATTGTTTGTCATGCTTGTTGCAATGAATTTGATTTTCTTTATAGATTTTCTTCACTCACGCTCCTTCAAAGCTCCTTCCAAACACAGGATCTATCGATTTGATAGTTTCTTAATTGACTTTTGGTATTTTAAAATTATATAATTCGAAGAATATTTTGATATTTTAGAATATAAGTTTGGAGGGTATTTTAGACCTTAATAATTATTATTGATGAATATATAATTATTTTGTTTAATTCAATCAAATTGAAAAATAAACTTTAAAATTAAACTATTTTGTTATTCAAGGTACTAAGTCTACTCATATATAGTTTTTCTTTGTAATTATTTCAATACATATATATATATATATAATTAAAATTTAACCTTAAAAAAAATAATAAAAATAAAAAATAACTTACCCAAGCAACAAAACTCAATGTTACATTCTTATCCAAAGAAAGAGATGGTACATTTGGTTGTCTCTCTCTCACACTTTCCCTCTATCTCACGAGTTTTGTAGATGTAACAAAAGTTTACTTACATCCCTCGGCATTATTACACACCCCTGAGCATTATTGAGCCAGAAATTCAACGCGTTTTTGCGTGTAGGCTTTTATACAATTATACTCATGAGAGAATTTTTGAAAGATAAACACATTAGAGATATTATTTTTTTTTAAGGCGCGAAGGCGAAATCAAAGTGGCATTACAGAGACATAAACTAAGCCAATAAAGACATACAAATCATGAAACTGAATAATAAAATAAAAAATAAGCTCCAGATTTAACTCTAGAACGAAAACCACCTGGAGATAGGAGCAGAAACAAGAATGACCAATGACCAAAAGTCAAGACAACAACTCCAGAACTTCATCCACAAGAGACTTCCGTACAATATCAACCACGGAAAACAAAAATAGACCAACAAAAAAACAGACCCAAAAAAAAACAGATCCACCCTATTATTAAACCAGAAACAAACCAAATAAGAGCAGATCTAACACACAAAAACAAAAAAACAAGAAGATTATTAACGTGGGAGGCGAGCAAGGTCACCTCCCCACTCACATGGAATGGAGTGTTACTTAAAAAACACATGAGAGATTTGCAATATTTAGAAACAACAAACGAAAAATCGTAGAATGCTTATAAGGTGAAAAGCCCCCCAATGAATCTAGGCCGGAATGAACGAGGTTCCCAGCGCAACAATAAAGGCACATACCGCAGCAATGATTCCTATTATCTGAAAGATATCAGCTGCCACTAATTTCTTCTTACGATGGAGAAAAAAAGCAATCAGAATAACAATGAATCCAACTGCAATGGCTGCTTTAACAAAGTAGGAAGCCCACTTAGTTTTAGCCAAGTAAGAGGAGGTCCCATTCTGAGTGTAGGTCATGAGAGAAACAATCGCTTGACCAATCATCGCAAGGAATATCTTCCCCAACTTCATCTGACCATCATTTGGATCGGTGCCCTCGAGTAAGCAACCCCAACGCCATTTCCGATCCATTTGGCTTGAAGTAAGCAACCCCTGCTGCTCGATATCCAATACAAGAAGTTCCCTACTTATCGAGTGCTGCCCAGGTGGTGGTGTTCCGATTCCGAACTTGCCATGCGTTTCATCATCATTTGGTAAGCTTTTATCAATCTCACCCTACAAAAAGACAACACATATATTTCATGCTAAATAAGAGTAGAAATTAATTGGCAGCAGATGAATTAAGAAGACTAGTGTTGGATCGATACATGCAAATTATAAACATTTACTAAGTTCGTCTTACTTGTGGGAGTTGCATAGTGCCATCTCGACTTGAGGAAGAGCTTTCACCATAATTAGCCTACAAAAAAACACAGCTTTCATCAAAATAAGAATCAATTTAAGATCAAAAGCTAGAAAGCAATCAAATTAATGGGATTAATTAGCATGTGAAGCCTATGACTTCTCTTACCAGAATCCATGGATTCCTGCCATGGAGACCACCACTAAGTGAGGAGAAGTCTATGTGTGTACACTCTCTGTTCTGCCCACAGTGGAACTCCCACCGGAGATGGTGGTTCTATGGCGAAAATGAAAGTTACTAGAGACAGATCCGCCCGGAGAGATCCGGTGACTGGATGGCGGGTCGCCGACTGAGCAGAGAGTTGAAGCGGCGAGGGTGCGAGAGAACAGATCGCCGTTGGCGATGGCGACAGATCGCGACGGCCGCACAAGCTCTGAATCCCTCGAATCCGGCCAAGGTGGAGCCGGATCCCGGAGACGATGGGGTTTCCTGGTGTTTCCTTCAACGGTGGCCGATATATATCAGTCGGCAGCGAAGGCTCCGGAGCTGAGAGTTTACGGCGGCGAATCGAGGTGGAGACGAGAGAGATCCAGCAGAGGGCTTTGAGATCGAGGGCTCGGCCGTGATAGAGCCAGTCGGCGGTGAGCTAGCCGGTGGAGGGCTCGGCTTCGGATGATAGCGGCCGCGATGGGCGCGACTGACTGACAACGGCGGTGACGGGCTGACTTCGGGCTGTGGCGAGGACGACTCGGCTGAGGACAAATCGGATGTGGAGTGCTCGGCCGTGAATAATCTGACCGGCGGTGCCGATGGCAGACCGGCGAGGGCGAAGATGGTGTGGGCTTGCGGCGGTGCTTGGAGAGAAGAAGAGAGAGGAAGAACTGAAGGAGAGAAAAACTTACCTGCTTGCACATTCCAGAGTGGATATAACCACCGACGCCGCCAACGCCACCAACACCAACGCTCTGCTTTTCGGTGCTCTGGTGGGCCTCTCCTACCACAGCTTGGTTCAATGCGCTTATATTGCCCGGCTTCATCTCTCTCCTGCTTCTCTCTCTCTCTACAATATTTAGTTACCGTCTTTCTCTACCTCTCCTTTTTTATAGCGAAAAAAAAGCAAACAAGGTCACAAAATAGTTTTTTTTTTTTTTTTTTAGTTAAAGGTCACAAAATAGTTGAAGAGTGAAAATCTACTTGAAAGTTTACTATAGAAAAAAAAAAGCAAATAAGGTCACAAAATAGATCCGATTGAAGGAGAGAAAAACTTACCTGCTTGCACATTCCAGAGTGGATATAACCACCGACGCCGCCAACGCCACCAACACCAACGCTCTGCTTTTCGGTGCTCTGGTGGGCCTCTCCTACCACAGCTTGGTTCAATGCGCTTATATTGCCCGGCTTCATCTCTCTCCTGCTTCTCTCTCTCTCTACAATATTTAGTTACCGTCTTTCTCTACCTCTCCTTTTTTATAGCGAAAAAAAAGCAAACAAGGTCACAAAATAGTTTTTTTTTTTTTTTTTAGTTAAAGGTCACAAAATAGTTGAAGAGTGAAAATCTACTTGAAAGTTTACTATAGAAAAAAAAAAGCAAATAAGGTCACAAAATAGATCCGATTGAGGGCCCCTCTGCTGGAGATTACTGGGACTCTCTCTCCCTCTATTTAGCAGAAAAGATGAAACTTCCTAAACAGTAGAAATTCTCTTACGTTGTGCCAATAAACCGAAACAGTAGAGATTCTCTTATGTTGTGCCAATAAAAGATGACAAAGAATTTTTTTCAAAGTCTTTGATTTTACAGTACCCTACTAGGTACAGATATATTACAATATGTTGTAATATGTTTTTAAATTTGATCTTAAATTAGGATACTACAGGCACAGATGGCAGAAAAAGATAGGTATAAGATTGTTTTTTTGTCTACCCTTTGAAAAGTATGAATGGACAATAATGCCATTTGGTCTTAAGAATGCCTCTTCAGAATTTCAACATATTTTGAATGACATTTTTAATTTTTATACTGAATTTTCTAAAGATGTTATTTACAGAAGTGGTTTAGCAATTTCTGCTTCTAAACTAAAAAATTTCCTCACTCAAGTTAAATATCTTGGTCATGAAATTTGTGATGGGAAAATTAAACCCATTGACCGCAGTATTGAGTTTGCTTTTAAATTTCTTGATGAAATTAAAGATAAAACTCAACTTCAAAGATTTCTTGGCAGTTTGAATTATATTCATAATCACTATAAGAATTTTATACAGGATACAGCAATTTTGTATACAAGGCTCAGTTCCCCTTGGACTTTAGAACATACCAAAGCAGTCCAGAAGATTAAACTTCGAGCTAAACAAATTCCTTGCTTGGCTCTCGCAAACTCTTCATGGTTCAAAATTGTTGAAACAAATGCATCCAACATTGGATATGGTAGAATTCTTAAACAAAAGAACTCAGAAACAGGAACAGAGGAGTTTTTTCGCTTCACTTCAGGAACTTGGAAAAATGCGCAATTAAATTATTCCACTATTAAGAAAGAAATTCTTTCTTTAGTTAAATGCATTTACAAATTCCAAGATGATTTAGTTAATCAAAAATTTTTGTTACGAATTGATTGTAGTGCTGCTAAACAAGTACTGGAAAAAGATGTTAAAGAATATAATTTCCAAACAGATATTTGCTGGTTGGTAAGTTGATTTATCTGCTTTTGATTTTTCAATTGAATATATTAAAGGCAGTTCTAACTCTTTACCTGACTTTTGAACCCATGAATTTCTACAGGGTTCATGAGTCAGCCCCATAATGGGCAGAGCCGTGGTAATACCACAACAAGCCGTGGCAAAGGCAAAAACAAAGCCAAGGTGGTTATATCACTTGATGACGAACTGTGACAACCCGAATTTTTAAGAGTTGAAATTATTATTATTTTTTTTTATTATATTTTTGTATCATAATTAATTTTTTACCCTATGATTGTAAATGTATCAATCCGAGATTGATCATTTAATTTGAGATTTATAATTTATTTAAATTTTGTTACATCATATATATATATATATATATGTATGTCTGGTTGATGCAAGCAGGGGCGAGATTAATGAAGAAAGAAAGGAAAAATTGTAATGTGCTGCGGGTCTCGCTGGATTTGATTAATGGGTTCTGTTTTATGAATACATATATATTATATATGTATATTATGTAATGGGATGGTGGAGGGAAAAAATGGGTTCATGAGTCAGTCCCATAATGGGCAGATCCGTGGTAATATCACAACAGGTCGTGCCAAAGGCAAAAACAAATCCAAAGTGGTTATATCACTTGATGACGAACTGTGACAATTCGAATTTTTAAGGGTTGAAATTATTATTATTATTTTTTTATTATATTTTTGTATCATAATTAATTATTTACTTATGATTGTAAATGTATCAATCGGAGATTGATCATTTAATTTGAGATTTATAGTTTATTTAAATTTTGTTACATAATATATATATATATATGTCTGGTTGATGCAAGCAGGGGCCGAGATTAATGAAGAAGGAAAGGAAAAATTGTAATGTGCTGCGGGTCTCACTGGATTTGATTAATGGGTTTTGTTTTATGAATACATATATATATATATATATATATATATATATATATATATTATGTAATCTGATGGTGGAGAGAAAAAATGGGCTGGCCGAAATAATTGGGAAATGAAATTGGAAATGGTTTGGTGTGGGTTCATTGAGAAATGATGTTTAAAGCAGTTGATTTGGGTTTTTTTAACATTTGTGTATATATATATACATATTATATATATATATATTTGGCTTGCATTTGTGAATGGTGGCAGCCGAGAATTTGGAGAAAAAGAAAGAATGGAAAAAAAAAAAGAAAATTAATGAAGTAGGCGGGACCCACGAAGATATTTTTTTGTTACCATAAATTCTATGAACTTTGTCCTTCACGAGGGCATCTGATATGTATGGAATCCATATGATGTTAAGATGGAAATGGTGAAAAGTGAATTGATATTTGTACTTAGTGTCGGTGCATTTTTCTTTACAAATGACTGTTTTGGGACTTTGGTTAGCACATTGATAGGGAGAAATATTGAGGAAAAATACAGAGAACTTAGAGATACAGAGAAAGTGCCGAGATTTTATGAGCATAGAGAAGTGCAGAGCCAAGAGCATCGAGATAGACAAACTTCGATAATCCAGGGATGGTTACTTTATTTTGCAGTGTGGGGATTTTCATACCTTTAATCTAGACATCTGATATGTATAGAATCTAATATGATGTTAAGATGGAAACGGTCGGTGGGACTCCTTTGGATATTTGGTCAAAAGTAAATTGATATTTGTACTTAGTGTCGGTGCATTTTTCTTTGTAAGTGACTGTTTTGGGACTTTGGCGAGCACATTGATAGGGAGAAATATTGAGGAAAAATACAGAGACTTGGAGATACAGGAGAGTGCCGAGATTTTATGAGCATAGAGAAGTGGAGAGCCGAGAGCATGGGGATAGACAAACTTGGATAATCGGGTGATGGTTACTTTATTTTGCATGTGTAGGGTTTTCCATACCTGGAATCGTTTGGGAGTAATTTTTATTTCAAATATTTTATTAATGTTATTTTGTTTAAATTACATATATGTATTTTGTTTAAAAACATATTTATATTTTATGAGACTGATTTTCATGAAATCCTTTAAAATTCTTGTTATGGTTTTTATTATTAGAACTTCTCCCGTCTCACCCCCCACAGTTTCAGGTATCAAGGATGAACGTGGATTGATAGTAACAAGCTTAGGTGGAAGAGTTGGTATTGAGGATTTATTTAGGTTGTGTTTGAGGAGCTTCCAAATATCAAATGGGCTTTGATAATAAGTCCTTTGTTAAAGTTAACCACTATGGTTTTCTAAAAGTTCATTTCATAAACTTCACCAAACACTCATAAAAACTTGAAAAAGGGCTTTCTGGACTTAGAAGTCCGTTTTGAGGCTACAAAAAACCCAGCCAAACAGGGCCTTAATTAATTAGAGATGTTGTATTATTTTTATTTTGAGGAAATTGATTTAGTATCAATAAATGATTTAGTGTATTTTCTTGAGATCTTGGTCTGTACTGATGTATTTTGATTTGAATAAATTGAAGATTTTATTAAGAAAATTCAGGACGTAACACGAACAGTACCTAGCTTTGGAGCATCTTGCTGATTTGCTCCGCACACCAAATAAAGGGGTGGGTAGCTCACAACAGAAGAAAACCATGAAGGAAGTTTTGGAAAAGGAAATTCCATGGATACCTAATGAAAGGTATATCCAAACTGTATTGGTTCTGGATGTTCAGGATGAACAATGGATGCCAGATCTATGGGAAGGTGAAAATCCAAACACTTAGCATCTCTAAAATTAAGAACTATAGAAAAAAAGCAAATAAGGTCACAAAATAATTGAAGAGTGAAAATCTATTTGAAAATTAAGAACTATAGAAAAAAAAATAAATAAATAAGGTCACAAAATAGATGGCTCCAAGAATGCTACAAATTACAAATATGCCGTAGAATCTGAAATGTAGGTCAAATTTTAGAGAACTAGAAAACAAAATTTTTAGAAAACTAGAGAAAAAAAAGCAAACAAGGTCACAAGTTTGCCTTAATGGTCAAGGAAAATGATAAAACATTTTCATTAAATTTTATATAATTAGTTATATAACTACAATATTAAAGTTAGTGAAAATAACACGAGCCTTTGATAATAATAAGTATATGTATTTGTTTTAACTTTTGAAAAAAAAAAATAGAGTAATAAATTTAAATATAAATAACACAGTTGAACTTCTAGTTTGAAAAGTAAGGAAGTTATCTCTAGGCTACAAAGCCTTTGATAATAATATTTTTAATTTAATTACTTCTTTAATTGAATGAAATACATACTGAAAAACAAAATAAATTTTGTAGCCAATTAAAAACTAAATCAGGATTCTTCGCAACAGTTTTAAAATTTAAAATCGTCTATCATTACCTACGTAATTAATGAATAGGATTCTTCTCAAAATGGGAACTACTTTAATAACGTGAAAAATGACAATGACAATTTCGATCAATTCATCTATAAAGTAAAATTAAAAATCATCTATCATTATTTGCATAATTAATAAATTGAAATTGTAGAGACGAACTTGACCAAATTTGTTATTTTGTTTTTTAAAATAAACTCAAATTTGTAATTCAATTTGATTTCTAAATACAATTATTTGACATTTTAACAATAAAAAATTTATCCATGCAACTCGCATTATATATAGGGTAAAGGACAAAAAAAAAAAAAAAAAAAAGACTTGAATTATTTTTGAATTTAAAAATAACTCATGAATTATATTTTGTGCATAGTATTTTATGAACTATCATATTTTGTCAAAAAATGTCCCAATGCCTTAACTATATTTCATTAAATGACCATAATTCTCTTTCTTATTGAATTACACTTAATCTATTTTTTATTGAAATAAATTATGAAATTTTTTTATACTAATTCGATGACATATTCTTC